AAGTTCCAGTCTGGCTCTAAAAATTTTATCATGGTCGAAAATTGCTTGTTATATGAAAAATGGAGATTTTTTTTTTTTGAAGTGGACGACAATAATTTTTTTTGTGTAACGTTTATATTGAATGACACTTGATCTGCAATGTCCCGCGACTACTAAGGTGAAAATTTTGGCCAATTTATCACAAGACTGACTTATTGAGTTTACATATATATGTGGATTTTTTTATGATATCCTCTAAAAAGGAAGCAATATTACATTTTAAGTAACATATACTTGATAAAATAATAGGTAGGTCCAAAACCAGGATTTGGCCTTTTGAATTTGGCAGCAAGTATAGAAGTATTATGTGCCCATTGTGAACATCTATTTTGTGTCATAATGATTATTGTAAACTGAAGTGTGCAACCATAGTTGTGACAGAATACACTTTGTTGAATAGAAAGTTCATGGCATGGTAAGCAAAAACTTTTTTCTATTCCCCATACACATACTATGCATATGCACTATGTCCACTATGCATTATGCACTATATGCACTTGTGCAAAAAAAAAAATCAAGCTTACTATGAATGGCATATAACTTGTCTATAGTGTCCAGGATTTGAACCAAAATGATGCAGTCAATGCTGTTGCAGCTAAGTCATATTGGACTATAGCACAAAAGACCCTCAATTCATATAATTTTTTGATGTCATAACCTTGATCTTCTGTACTCTCTAATATGTGTGGGTGGAAAGAAGATGCAGGGCTATTAATTTTTAGATTTTCACTTTTTCTTGGTCCCAAATAATAGTGACGCACATTTAAATGGTCTTGGATCCATGCATTATTCCTTTTGTGCAGGTATTACTGGAATTTTTTAAGACTATCAGAAATCTACATACCAATCTTCCCTACAACTTGGATAATGGAAAATTTCAATTTTACATAATTTGTAGACAGATGTATTCCTCTTATTCTGATAATATAATTGTAAAAAAAAGCAGCAACAACTTTTATTTGGAAATTACTTAAAACAAATTATCAAATTCAGATTCAAAATAATACAAAAAAGTAAAATTTTTATTTAGATAGTGTAAAATAGTAAATTATAAATCACGGGAACGAACATATAAATCGGAAATGATTTACATGTATCACGAAGTGAAAAT